TTTCTCTGCTGCTAATGATAAAGCAGTTCTCCCATTGTTGTCTGAGAGATCTGGATTGGCGCTCTCACGAAGAGGCATTGGGACCTGCGTCTCAGGGGAGATGGGCGTAGTTACCGTCAATGGTTTCAACTTGCAGCTCTCCCTGGGCGGCAGTTCGTCGTCCATGGTCATTGAGGGGAACGTCGTTTCGATGGTCTGTTCGACGATGCAGAAGTGGAAGAAGTGAGAGTTGGGAACGAGACAAAGAAAATACGGTGCGTTTTAAGAGCACTAGATAGAGTAGACGGGGACCGTACGCTACCCACGCGACGGAGGCACCGAAATGACGAATTGCTGTTCAGTTGTGAAAAGTCAATTCCATTCGAGGAACGGTTTTTCTCCACTGCTAGCGCAGCTGCCTAAACTAACAACAACTAAGTAGTCATACATTCGCCTATTTCCACACATGGCAAGCCAATCATAAAGCATAGTGGGTTTGACAAGAAAACTTAATTTCAGCTGAACAAAAGTTGATGTTCTAATTGAATAATATGTAATAGATAAGATCGAGGGTATCGAGACCACGATTGGAGTCAAGCTGCAATGCCATCCGTCGTAGTACCCATAGAGAGGCAGCTGCAACGGATGACGAAATGTATTGCTATATCAATTGAGAATTGGTTTAAGTGGATCTGATTACTAGTTCGATGCCGAATGAAGGGAAACCGTGCGCCTTACGTCACGCCAGCTTTGTACATCGTGCTTTCATATACACCAGATCCGACACAGCAACACAGCCTAGATATCAATGGACTAGCCTAGTTAAGCTGCAATTGACCTGCCATAATGCGGTGTCTATCTTTGTGTTCTACGCACGATGTCTTGGATCTATGTATTGGGCATACTGGCTTTCTTCTGCATGCCTCTCTGACTACTGAGCCATTACTAATTGTAGTTGAAGTTATATCTAATTATTGGAAGAGCTGCTGCGGCAATCTGCAACTCTGTATGATAGGCATGATCGACTACTACAACAGCTCGACCGCCCATCCCCTACACCTCATCCATTATTTAAAATGCTTCAAAGCACCTTCTCTCGACCATCGCGTGTAACTTGTGTCGACCTTAATAATTTCATTTGGGAACCTTCACGCTAGTGGCTGCATTAGGTAAGGGACCACATACAGGAAACGTTGTCTTTCCTTCCCAGAGCGGCGAGGACGACAACTCCGGTAGCAAGATATCTATCACAGAACCATTTGTTAGAAGATTCCAGTACTCTCAGCCAATCGAAGAGCTATCTCTGTCTCCAGAGTCTCTGGAAGAGCGCGATTGCACTCTAGAAGAGCGCGATCTGCAGTAGTGCTACTATCCGAGTACGTAACATGGCTTTACCAGAGGGCGTGATCTGTAGGTCTTCGGGAATTTTCTTTGTGAGATCGTTCGCTGAGGGCTGTTTGCTAAAGACAAGGGACTCAAGAGCAAATCTAACCGGTACTCTTTAAATTAGTAGCGATATATAACGGGAAGTCGAGCGACACAAGACAGGGGCTGGAGTATAGGCAAACTGTATTAAGCTGTGGTCGTAACACTGCTCGGTGACCGTTTGCCAAGTGACGGCAGGGACGTGGAGTTATTTATACAGTACCTTAGGGAGGTTATCAGACCACTGAGCATACATCGAGCATAGCAGGCAATAGCAATAAAGTACTCGCACATCCTGATATCGCGGCCCCCTCGGCACCTTCCCTAAGTTAAAGAGCGCTTTTATCTCTTATGCGAGCTTTAGTCGGTGTTCTGATACCCTCATATACTATTCTTCATTCCTTTTCTCAACTACGGCGCGCCTAGGATGTAGGTATGGATCTAGAAGGGGCTCAATTCTTAGTGCGTTCCATGCTCCCTTCAGCTAGGTAGTCGGCTCATGTCCTGGTCTTGCGTTGTTGATGACGTCGACCGGTCCCAAGTCCCCCTCGGACATACGCATCGCCTACTTAGGGTTACCCCTTATACTCACAGTGGTTAGTCAAAAATGACCAGTCCAGTAATGCTCTGACTGTGCTGGCGAAGGACAATGCCAACGACAAATTTTATAATCTACTCACCCTATTCCAGCTTCTTGATATCCGCAATGCTCGATTGATATAATGACCTCAACGTGAAGTCACATTTAAGCCGCCGAGATAAAGAACTATTCTTTTCATCATAAGGTAAAGTACAATAAATGTCAGCAAAGTCAGCAAGGGAATTTGTCATCATTACGCATCATCTTACTTGTTCTTTGCATAAACTTCTTCAAAACATCATCTTCAGTAAGTTGCTAGGCAAAACAGCTGAAAGACTAAGCACATAGCCATTACGGCCGGTCACTGCCTATAAACTCTACGCCGTATCCGCTCGAAACTGCGCACTTTTATAACTACAAATACTCCGACCATTACTCCAGGCCACCCCAAGTCAATCGCGCCGCGAATACTAAACCCGCTGCCTGACAACAGTCGGATAATAATGAAGAGGCAAGGATAGAATTTCGGGGTGGCTAAAAGTAGGTGGTTTGGCTTTTGCTAGAGCGGCTTGTCAACTCGAAACTGAGTAATGCTAATGAAGTCTTGGTTTGCATTACCCAGTGAGGGTGTCTCTGTCCGTGCATTCGGTGTAAACTTTCCAAATTCCCCCAATGAAGTTAAAGGACCTTAGAGTTCGCCATCTCTCCACAAGAAAACCTATCCTGGACGTGGTCGTCAAGCTGCCTGCCCCTTCAGGTTACTGTCGTGGTAAAACTGCCCCGTACTGAACAGCCGCTAGCACACTGTTCGAACTGATAAACTTTCACTTCACAGGTACAGAATCGACCTAATCACAACTTGGCACGTCTACAGTAAGTAAGGCTGTTTGAAAAAACGCGGGGTGCGGGGTATTAGGAAGTTGAGCTGCCTACTTAGTTACCTAGAGGTTTTGTGTGATTACGTATCGGCATTTAGGCTAAATAAAATGATCTGCGTGGATACGAGGTACTCCCGCAACTTTTATATCTATGTATTTTCGTGCGGGAGGGCTGAGATGTATTTTACATGTAGGCTATCCTAAAATTGACGGAGATCTCCTTTCTACCCGCTTTAGTGTGAACCATTTGGCGTCGTTTAGTTGAAGTTAAAACACAATTCTATTATCCTAGATCATATTGCTCACGCGCGCCAATACTATCATTCTCTTTTACTTCAGGTTGTATGACTGAACCGCACGAATGATGTTTTCGAAGCAAAGCTTCATTTGAAAAGTGCATATAGAGTGATCCTGATATTTATACTCCGCCGTCCACTTCTGTGGGAAACGAGTCCCATCAAGTAACCAATGCGATTAGATACGAGAATCCTCATGATTAATTGCAAACATCGACACGTCCAGCATGATGTATTCTTCTAAGTACTGGGTCAATCTTTCTTTTTTACTGGCTCTAAGTCTCTCTCCCTTTGGCTCAGGGGTCGTCAGAGCAGACAATCCGATCATCCAGACCGATTTCACAGCAGATCCGGCGCCGGTTGTCTACAATGACCGCGTCTATCTCTTCACCAGCCATGATCAGGATTCTGCAACCACTTGGTACAATATGAAAGATTGGCTGCTATTCTCGTCAGCAGACATGGTCAATTGGCAACATCATGGCTCACCAATGAGCCTTGAGACCTTCTCCTGGGCTACCGTAGACGCGTGGGCAGGGCAGGTAGTTGAACGCAACGGCAAATTCTACTATTACGTCCCCATCAACCGCGGGCCTACCTGGGCGACTTTCGCCATCGGAGTGGGTGTTAGCGACAAGATCGAAGGGCCGTATGAAGACGCTATCGGCGGTCCGCTTCTCGCCAATGGCCAATTCGACCCTACTGTCTACATCGACGATGATGGCCAGGCGTATCTTTATTGGGGCAATCCAGACTTATACTACGTCAAATTGAATGAGGACATGATTTCCTACAGCGGTGACATCGTCAAGGTACCACTCACCACAGATGGCTTCGGCGATCGCGGTAACGGACAAACTATGTACCAGGAGGGACCTTGGTTCTACAAGCAAAATGGCCTCTATTACATGGTCTACGCAGCCAAATGTTGCCCTGAGAACATTCAGTACTCGACTAGTCCAAGCCCGACTGGACCTTGGACCTACGGCGGTATTGCTATGGCGACTGGAGGAACGAGCGACACCAATCACGTGGGAATTGTAGAATTCAAGGGCAAGCAGTACTTTTTCTACCACAACGACGCCCTTCCCGGTGGTCAATCTTACAAGCGATCTGTCTGCGTTGAGAGTTTCAGCTATGGAGCGAACGGAACCATTCCGCAAATTTCGATGACATCCGAAGGTGCAGCACAGATTGGCTCCTTGGACCCTTTTGTCCGTCAGGAAGCCGAGACGATCGCCTTTTCGGAAGGCGTTGAGGCTCAAGTCACTGCCTCTGGTGGCATTGCCGTTGCATTCATCAACAGTGGTGATTATATCAAGGTCAAGGGTGTTGACTTTGGCACTAAGGGCGCGAGCCAATTTCGTGCCGCTGTCTCATCTGCAACCAATGGCGGCCGCATTGAGTTGCGTCTTGACAGTCGCAGCGGACAATTGATTGGGACGTGTTCCATTGGGAATACTGGGGGTTGGCAGACATGGTCAACTATCACATGCCCTGTGAGCAATGCGGTTGGCAAACATGATCTTTTCTTTGATTACATTGGTAACGGCACTGAGTATCTGTTCAACGTCGATTGGTGGCAATTTTCGTAGTGCTTGAGTTGTCAAGACTCATATTCAAGTAGGTAGCTACTTATGTATTATGGGAGCTTGAAGCCCGATCCCGTCAAGGTCGATCTTTTGCGCCTAAGAAGCCAGCCAAAATCCACTACATCGGAGATGCCAGTCCGCATTATATCTTCTTCAAGCCTACCCTTGTGTCTTCAATAACGCCAATATCATCTACAACTCAGTCGATGACACGCCAGTCTATTCATGTATCATGTTGGGGCTACCTCTGTTAGACAATCGCGACAACCTCTCTGTCCAGCGATTGAGCCAAGACCATCTCATAGTACATTCCCCGCCTTTGGAAAAGTTCCTCATGAGTGCCGTCCTCAGCAACTTGGCCTCTGTGCAGCACAAAAATTCGGTCGCAGCGCTGTATAGTCGACAGGCGATGAGCCACGGCAATAGTGGTCCGGCCAGGCTTCTCTCGCGCGACCGCCTCGATGGCAGCTTGTACCAGCACCTCGTTGGCGGTGTCTAGGGCGCTAGTGGCTTCATCAAAGAGCAACACCTCCGGCTCGCGGATAAGCGCTCGAGCGATTGCGAGACGTTGGCGCTGGCCCCCGGAGAGAGCGACACCGCGGTTTCCGACGTCGGTCGCGTATCCGTCGGGCAAGCTGCTAATAAAATCATGCATGTTGGCCGAGCGGCACGCGCGCTCCACGCGATCATCTGCGTCGGGCGCCGCCGCTTCATCGTCTGGAAGACCAAGGAGAATGTTATCCCGGATGCTGCCCTGGAAGAGCGCGGTATCCTGCGACACAAGGCCGATGCGGGAGCGGTGAAATTGTACGTCCAAATCTCGGATAGTTGTGCCCTCAACGAGGAGCTGTCCAGAGTCGATGTCGTAAAATCGCTCTAGAAGGGCAACAATGGTACTTTTGCCGCAGCCCGAGGCGCCTACGATGCCAACGGACTGGCCCCTTAGGATCTTGAGATTAAGACCGTGTAGTACAGAGCGATTTGGCCGGCTGGGGTATGCAAAGGTCACGTCGCGGAATTCGATGGCTGCCCGGTTGTTCTCGCTCTCCGGCATTTCCTTAACGCCGGAAGAGGTATTGATGGGAGGCTGCGATAGGCGCAAGTCAATGATGTGATTTGCCGCCGAATGTGCTCTCGAAACGTCTGTTGCAAAGGTACCCGTCAGTATTCTACTAAGTAGTCTCTCACTGCCTGAAGAGTCCGACTTGGGATGTGTGGCTTGATGAAGCAACTTACTCGACGAAAAGCCGAACAGAACGCCGCCCGATTGCGACCCCATAAGCACCGCCATGAAGACAATGAAGAATGTTCGCATATCGTAATGACCCTCAGACAACAGCTTTCCGCCATACCAGAAGGCCAGGCCCGTCACGGCCATGTTGATACTTTCAGCGAATGCGTGAACAACCATCGTAATCATCTTGCTACGTAGTTCCCGGCTGGCACACTCATCAAGACGAGACTTGAAGCCGTTCAGAACCTTGTCTTCCAATGTCAAGCTAGAGACGGTACGAATGGCGCCGACAGCCTCGGATGCAAAACGAGCGCTTTCCAGGTACGTCTGGGTCAGGCGGTCCTCGTTGGCCATTTCGAGTCGCAGGCGGAAGAAGCCGGCACCGAAAAGTGTCGGCATGCCGCCTGCAATGACAACCAGACCCAGGCGCCATCCCATGGCGACTGCCAGAACAAAACACGAGACTATGTCAACAAATATGACGATGATAAGAGCGAGGTTGGTGGACAGCAAGTTTTGAAGCCGCTGAGGATGCAGGGAGAGTCGGCTAGTCATCTCGGACGCACCGTGGCCCGTGGTGTCAAAGAAAGAAACATCTTGCCGCAACATTGCGTCGAAGTATCCCCGGCGGTAGAAGCGCGTGGTGTGGAACGATGCTATAGTCCAGAAGAACCCGACGCCAAGGTAGCACACAAAGACACCTAGGCTGAAAACGAAGTACATCAGTGCCCAAAAGTTACCGCGCTCTACCAAGGAGTTGCCGGGAAGAAGCTGCAAGGTCGGGAGACTGGATCCGAAAAGGACTGCCTGCGCGGGGAATAGGCCACCACCAGCGGCCGAGGATAGAATGCCAAAGAGCCAGATTGGCCAGATGTGCCAGTGCTCCTTCCAGATGATAAATTTGAGGCACTCCGCGATGGAAAGCTTGCGAGAAACATCTGCGTCTTCGTCCTTGATTTCCTGTTCAATCTCGACTGGTTCTGCGGCAGGACGAGATTGCCTGCTTGCAGATTTGGACAAGACCGCCGGTTTGTCTTCTGCACTGTCGACTGAGCTATCGTCCCGATATGGAACTTTCGAGGACTCGTATGTCTCCATACCCGCATGTGCAGCTGCCGCCTCACCCGTATCGAGTGTCTGAGCATTGACAAGCTCGTGGTACGCCCCTCTTAGATCAAGCAGCTGCTGATGGGTACCCTGCTCAACAACCTCGCCCCGACTAAGTACAACGATCTTGTCGGCCTTCTGGACCGTTGAAAGTTTGTGCGCAATCATGATTGTAGTCCGCTGCTTGGAGACATTGTCAAGGGAAGCTTGTACTTTTCTCTCTGCCGTAGGATCCAGGGCTGATGTAGCTTCGTCGAGCAGGAGGATCTGCGGGTTGGAGATGACACTCCGGGCAATGGCAACACGCTGCTTTTGCCCTCCACTCAACAAAGCGCCGCGTTCTCCAACCTTGGTGTCATACTTTTGCGGCAGCTCCTGAATAAACTCGTCCGCAAACGCCTGGATGCACGCTTGTCGGACAAGTTCTCTCTTCTCGGGCTCGGGGAGATCGTTCATGGGAGTTCCGTATAGTCCATGGACTACATTGTTGTAGATCGTGTCGCTGAAAAGGACTGGTTCTTGCTGAACAAGGCCGATCCTCCCACGCAACCATCGAAGGTCAAGGTCAGCAATGTTATGGCCGTCCAAGTGGATAGATCCGCTATTCGGGTTGAACCACCGTTCGACCAGTCCAACAATCGTACTCTTTCCAGAACCAGACGCACCCACCAATGCCGTGACCTTTCCAGCCTCAAAGATTAGGCTGGCGTCACGCAAGACTTGAACAGAGGGCCTTGACGGATAGGCAAAGCTGATGTTGCGTAGCTCGACCAGGCCTTCACACTTGTCAGGCCGCTCACCGGTGTCGGCCAAGGGATCAATCTCGGACTTGCGATCAACCACCTCAAACATGCCCTGAGCGGCAGCTGAAGCCTTGGCAAAGTCACCGAACCCTGGGGCCACGTTGGAGGCAGCGTTTGTACCCAAAAGGACCGCGAGCAGCACTGAGATGATTTGCCCACCGCCACCGATCTCGCCGCTGTTGAGCAGCTTTACACCATAGAACCAGGCAAGGGAGTAGGCACAGTAGATCGTAAAGAACTCCACACTCCACTGGACGCCGATGACGGGACCCTTGCGGAAGCCGAGCTTCTGCGCCCCTGCCAGGTAGTCGTCGTACTTGCGGCTCAGCTTCGCACTGGCATTGTAAGCCGTCACGATGCGGGTTGAACCCAGAGCCTCCTCAACCAGGCCACCGGCGCGGTTATATATCTCTAGGATCTTTGCCTCAATCTTGGCGTCTGATGGTGAATTCTGATTAGCGCTGAGCAATCAATACAGGAGGACAGCACACTTACCGAGGCCAAAAGTAATTTTGAACCCGATGAAGAGAATGGGCAGCGAAGTAGCCGTGACGAGAGTAAGCTTCCACTGCCGCGTGAATGCTACCACAAAAGCAGCAACGAACATGGACATGTTCTGGATTAGGCTGCCGACCTTCTCGGTGCTGCCGTTTTCCACCATGTCGGCGCTGTTGGAGATGGTGGACGCGACGGTGCCAGGCGCACAGGAGTCGATGAAGGAAACATCCTGTCGGATCATCGACCGGATGAAGTCGACGCGAAACGCCCTAGTCACACGAATGCCCACAAGACCGAAGCACGTGGAGTGCATGTAGACGAGAAAGAAGCGGCCGATGAAGAGATAGAGCAGCCAAAGAGCGTTCTTAGACATGTTGCGGTAGAGGTCCTGTCCCGAAATAGTGCCATTTTCATAATCATTGAACTGATTCACAGAGGAGCCAAACACCACTGTCATCAGTGGAGGAAGAATACCGGAGGCAATAGCAGCAATTAGGCCGATGAGCCGGAGGGCGTGATCCAGCGATGTAGAGTAGGACCAGTGCACGCGGAAGAAGAAGTGGAGCGACCCGGGCTTCTTCCCTTTACTGTCTTTTGCTTTGCCATCGTGAATTTGGTCCTTGTCGCTTGTTCCATTGTCGACCTGGCCTAGTTCGCTGTTTCTGGAGTTGACGGCGGTGTCTGTCTTGGCGAGCGTGGCAGGGTGGGCCGACTTGTCTCCGAGGTCTGCCATCTAAGGTAGGACGTTCACGTTCGCGCAAGTGCTTGCGATCGTTCTCGCCAAAACTTCCTGTGAATAAAATAGAGGACTTTTGCCGAATAAGGTTGGTCGGTAGAAGCTCAGTTGTTGGCAAAGAAATCCAACCACAGCCGTAGAGAAAACAGGTGGGAAAGGGAGTTGTGTGACGCCTATCGGAAAAGGGTTTTTTTGGACAACTGAAAGGCGCCCAGACAGCCTAGATAAGAGTTGGACAAAATGCATCACTGTAACATGTGTAAAGGCACAGTGACTTCGTTTACGATACATAAAGATGATTCATGTTCATACAGGAGACGACAACGCGAATGCGGAAGGTCATTTCGTATCCAGATGATGCAAACTTGTGGGTCTTTTGCAGCATGTAGGGGTCCTGGGGTCTAGATCAAGTCCAATCCTTGAGCATCACGTTTGATTAGCTCGGTAAAGGCTTGATCTACGGTTGGTGCTTATCTTGTTGGTTGTGTACTTGGCCCGTTGCCCGCACTGTGTTCGCCATAAAGGATTGATCAATGTAACAGACACTCCGGGGTTGGAATATAATGTGTGTATGGGAGCTGACACGTGTAGGTATTCCGTATTCGTAGTATCCGTCGTCTAGACTCTAGAGCCTAGAACGCCGGGGGGTTTTCTATTGCGGGTCGTCCCGTACGTATCGTCTGCCAGGATAGGGGAAGGGGGGCAAGGGGGAGAGGTGCCGCAGTGCCGCGGTGAAGATTACATGTACTCCGTAGACACACCCTCACATACTATTCGGGTTGGGACCGTATTGTTAGCCTGCACAGGGCTAGCGACGGCTCAAAGATGCACATGTACGGCGGGCCTAGATTCAATTGCTCGGCTTACAAGATGTGTGTGAAACCCTGCAGGCTTACAATATGAGGAGGCGTACAGCTATCTGTCTCTCGACAGGCGACATCGCATTGTTCCAGCCATCGGTAAGGTATGTCGGTGTTGTGACCGTGGTTACAATGCATGAAGGAACCTTTGTATGCAGGGACCGTTATTTCCACGCGGCAGGGGGTGAATCCTCTTAGCCGCGACACGGTATGCAGGGACTTCCGACACGGGCAGGCATCTCACTTTCCGAGTATCTACATCAGCCATGCCTGATTCTGCTCCCACAAGTATCACTACCGGACAGATACTTCAGATGCAGGTAAGCAAGAAAATCTATCTTCAGGCCCAGATCCCGTTCGCTTCATTGATATGCTTCGGAAATAGCCTGGACCTAAAGACAGATGGAGATACAGCGGCTAAAGCCTCGCGATGCAAGGATGAGGTCGCATGCTCTTCTACACGTGTACATGTGTGGAAAATTGTATGCAGGGTCTACGGTTTCGGCCCAAAAGCTCACTTCCCCGGCTTACACGCATTGAGAAGGATGGTGGGCAGGATATCATAGGCGCAAGGCATCTGGAAGCGCGGCCTCTAGGCCATCCTGTTGCAAACGAGGAAGCGGACATTGTGAGATGGCGGGCGAAATCGGTCTTTCACGGATCTTGCAACGTAAATGGTTGTTCCTCCAATCATTTCCTCTTCTGTCTGGCAAGCTTTCGGGAAAACGGCCTTTCGCGTGAATGCCTTCAGACCCATTATCGCAGGCAGACAAAAACAATGGTAACGCCATGCTAAGTTATCCAATGAGAAGAACAGGATACGTGGAGAAGGATGAAGCCAAGCTTCACTCCGGAACATGATTTAGCAGATGGAAGAGAGGGGTAAGCCTCGGTATTGCAGTATGATCGGAACCGAAGTCCCACGCCAGATGAGGGTGACTGTGTGTCGAACAACAGTTGTACTGGGGAATCGTGTGATGGGAAACAGCGAGCCGGCAATGACAACGAACACTGTGAAGCGTGGTCATTCGAACTTGGTTGGCGAGCATAGTGGTAGGTTTACAGGATTTACCTTGACGCCGAGATGTGGCTCATGTGTAGCTAAGTGCCTGGCAATAAAACCAGTCGTTGGCCCTGGAAAATTGATTTCTTTTATGAGTTTTTTCTTTCTTATGCTCATACAGAAATTACCTTTGACCCACTGCCTTCCTCGAAATGTCCAACATAGAGGTTTTGATCAACACTCTGGCCACTGATGCTGCTGTCATCGAGGAGCCTAACAGCACAATTTCCTCGCTGGTAGGCATCTTCCCAAAGGCAGATTTTCTTTGGTCATTGGGCAATCTAGGCGAGACTAATCGTGGCGAGTTGGCTCGTCGCTTGTTCTTTATTTGGACAGGCTACGTTGTTCTACGATGTATTTACAACCTCTACTTCCATCCTCTTTCTAAGATCCCCGGTCCATGGCTAGCTGCTATGACGCCGCTCTGCGACTTTTGGTACGATGCCGTAAAGAACGGCAACTACCTGTGGGAGATCCAGAAGATGCATGAGAAATACGGTAAGCCCGATCCATTTCACTACTCTTACCAGCAGACGTCATCGGGCGGTCTCTTGCACAGATTGCTGATTGTTACTGATATAGGCCCAATTGTTCGCATCAATCCCAACGAAGTTCACATTGATGACCCAGAATACTATCAAAACGTTTATGTCGGCGGCACTCATCGCATCAACAAGGACTCGTCTACCGTAGCCGGTTTTGGTGTCCCTGCATCCGTAGCAGCCACCGTGAACCACGCCCAGCACCGTTCACGCCGCGGCTATATGAACCCCTACTTCGCAAAGCGGTCCATCGTTTCCATGGAGCCCCAGATTCATGAACGTATCACGGCCATGCTGAACCGCCTCGATGGTGCTCGCAAGGAAGGCACCAAAATCTCGCTGGACCTCGCGTTTTCCGCCATGACGGCAGACATCATCACCCAACGCTTCTTCGGCTACCACTACGACTACCTCAGCATCCCCAGCCTGGTTTCGCCCATTCGTGAGGCCTTCAAGGGTGTTTCGGAAATCTTTCACTGGACTCGCTTCGTGCCGTGGGCCATCAGATACCTCAAGAAGCTGCCCATCCCAGTTATCCGTCTCATCCTACCACCCGTCGCGGAACTCCTGCTTCTACAAGAAGACATTAAAATCAACATCAAGAACAAGCTCGCCAGCGAGAACAATAGTCTTCAGTCCAAGTCAATCATAATTGAGGCCCTTGGCGACTCGCACGTCCCTGCACAAGAACGCACCATTGAGCGTCTTGTAGATGAAGGGCAAGTCATTATATTCGCTGGAACAGAGACATCATCAAGATCGCTTGCTGTGGGCATGTTCTACCTGCTCGCCAACAAATCTCTTGTCAACAGAGCCCTCGCTGAGCTCTCCAGAGTGGACCACATCCCCGACGAAGAGCTCACAATGAAGGATCTCGAGACACTGCCCTTCATGGTACATTTACTTCCCTGTTCACTGATGGTGCACGCAGCCGAAGAATTTCGGTCAACTAACCGAAGTATTAGACTGGCATTGTGAAAGAAGCTATCCGCCTCTCTTACGGACCCATCACCCGTCTTCCAAGGGTCTTCACCCACGAGACGCTACAGTACAAGGACCATGCCATTCCTCCTGGTGTAAGTGCTTGTATAACCTTTCTGGGCTTTCGAGCACATTTTCTAAGATGAATCACAGACACCTGTAAGTCAGTCGACATATTTTGTGCACACTAATCCCAAGTGCTTCGTGGACCCCTTCACCTTCAACCCAGACCGCTGGGTAGAGGCAGCCAAGGCAGGGTTTCCTCTGGAGAGGTACCTCACGAGTTTCACCAAGGGGTCCCGTCAGTGCCTCGGCATCGGGTTAGTAAAAGCATCCATTTGTCTTTCGTCGCATAATTCTAATGGCCGCCGATATCCAGCTTAGCCCATGCCGAGCTATATCTGACATTTACCCGCGTTCTTCGTAACTTCGACATGGATTTGGTGAACACTTCGATTGCCGACGTTCAGGTCCATAACGTCTTGATCATTGGGCAACCCAAGGTCGAGAAGGATAAGGGCGAAGGACAGGGTGAAGTCGAGGTGATGGTTACACGCAAGCTAAGGCCCTAAGATAATGTTGGTTCCGCGGAGGTGTGGATGTCTGGTCTTTCCAAACAATGCTTTCCAAACAATGTTTGGGACACTCCCTGAGGACCAGGAAAACTGGCAGAAGCTCTGATATGACAACGCAGAAACTGTATAGTGTTTTTTGGTTTTTTAGATTGCTGTCTCAATTTAGTTGTCCCGGTCGCCTTCTTTCGTCGATATTGTTTCCTCGTGCTCCTAGGCTTGCAAAGTAGGTTCGAGGTAGGTTAAACTTCCAATAAGTTGTAAGTCAAACCCCCCACTTCCCGGCACCCCCCTGTTTCTGGCACCCACAAAAACGCGAAAATCCACCACAACGCAATGCCCACCCCCAACCTCCTTTTATCACAACATTTTCAATTCGAGTCCAAATGGGCTCATTTTTTGCACATACCTTCTTCTATATCTAATGCCTCAATATACCGAAGATCAGCTTCGTCAGGCTCTCGAGGACATCTCAAACGGCAAGAGTCAAAAGAGAGCCTCATTGGAGTATGGGATACCACGATCAACCCTCCAACTACGTCTCCAAGGTGGTCAGACTAGGAAAGTGGCTTTTGCTGACTGGCAGAGGCTGTCTCCTGACCAGGAGAGTAAGCTGGCACAATGGGTTCGCATTCAGGCTTCGCTGGGCCTCGCACCAACGCACCAACAGGTGAAGGAATTCGCAGAGCGAGTTCTGGCTGCTGCTGGGGATACCAAACCATTAGGAAAAGGCTGGATCTATGCCTTCGTGAGAAGGAACCCTATCATTAAGGTTCAGAGAAGTCGTTCCATCGATTCTAGACGCGTTAATGGGGCATCTACTGAGGTCATTAGGAACTGGTTTAAGTTCCTTGCTATCCCTGAGATCAAGGACATCAAACCAGCCAACAGATATAATATGGATGAGACTGGCATCCTCGAGGGTCAGGGAGCTAATGGGTTAGTGCTGGGCATGGCTGAGACGACGTCTGTTCGCAAGAAACAACCTGGGTCGAGGGCATGGGTCTCTATCATTGAGTGTATCTCAGCCTTGGGTAGGGCACTTCGTCCTCTTATCATTTTCGGGGAAGACGGTCCAACAACAGTGGTTTCCATTACATCTGGTTCCATACGATGGGTGGAGTTTACAGCAACAGATAATGGCTGGACTACAGACTTAACTGCCATTGAATGGTTAGAGAAGGTGTTTATCCCACAGACTATGCCCGAGGCTGAGGGCGAGGCTCGACTGTTGATTGTGGATGGGCATGGGAGTCATGACGACAGACTTCATGTGGAATTGCTATATTAACAATATCCATTTACTGTTCTTACCACCACACTCCTCTCATGTCCTCCAGCCACTTGACCAGTCTGTCTTCAGCCCTGTTAAGTCAGCCTATCGGAAGGAGCTCGGTTACTTGTCTCAATGGAACGACTCTACCATTATAGGTAAAAGGAACTTCCTGGACTGTTACCAGAAGGCTCGACTTGCTGGTCTATCAGTCTCGAACATCAGAAGTGGTTGGAAGTGGACTGGTCTACACCCTGTAGCGATGGTTAAGCCCTGATGAACCCTATGGTATTACCTGAGCCTTCTGCTAAGCCCACCACACCCAAACCAACCAGTCGGGGCAAAAAGCGATGCCATAATGGTCAACAAACTACCCTGTTGAGCCATGGGATTCTGCTTCCTCTGCAGTGGTCTGGTCGACACCCAGGAAGCTGGCAGAGCTCAGCGGTCAACTGCACTTATACACCCAACTCGACAATGATACCAGCACTCAACGGCTGCTGTTCAGGAAGGTGAAAAAAGGCTTCACAGAGCAGGCCTGGCAACTGGCAGCTGCCCAGCAGCAGCTGGCTCACCTGAGGGCTCAAGTTACCAACGCTGCAGTTAGGAAGAGGAAGACTGTTCAGATCGATCCCAACACGAAGTTTGCGAACATCAGGGATATCCATCGGGCTCAAATCGAAGCGGGTGAAAAGGAGGTTATTACGGCTGAATCCAGCGACTCTGAATGCCCTAGTGAGGCTGGCAGTTGTATTGTAGTGGGTGTGGTTGAGGATCAATAGTTAATAGTAATGAGGAGGTTGGGTTGTGATCCCATCGTTTTTGTGGGTGCCAGAAACAGGGGGGTGCCAGGAAGTGGGGGGTTTGACTTAATTTGATGATGTATGGCCAAACATGACTCACTGTCAGAGTATCTGACCGAATAGATAATAGTAAATTGAGCTTATACTGCAATCAAGAGGGAAAGCCAAACTTGTGGTGATACTCCAAGCATGAAGTCCCCACAAGCCGTACGCGAGTAGCTTGAGCTTGCACAAGACCACCAAGGAAATTGTCAGAGTCAACCCCTTTGAGAAAACATTCCCATATATGTGACAGCTAATGAGACCCAAGTACATTCGCTCGAAATTCTGTCGCGAAGCGGAGGTATGTCAATACGAAAGTTGAATTATCAAGACTCCGCCTATCCTAAATACAAAAATTTATAAAGCCCCAGATCAGGTAAGTCAAACCCCCCACTTCCCGGCACCCCCCTGTTTCTGGCACCCACAAAAACGCGAAAATCCACCACAACGCAATGCCCACCCCCAACCTCCTTTTATCACAACATTTTCAATTCGAGTCCAAATGGGCTCATTTTTTGCACATACCTTCTTCTATATCTAATGCCTCAATATACCGAAGATCAGCTTCGTCAGGCTCTCGAGGACATCTCAAACGGCAAGAGTCAAAAGAGAGCCTCATTGGAGTATGGGATACCACGATCAACCCTCCAACTACGTCTCCAAGGTGGTCAGACTAGGAAAGTGGCTTTGCTGACTGGCAGAGGCTGTCTCCTGACCAGAGAGTAAGCTGGCACAATGGGTTCGCATTCAGGCTTCGCTGGGCCTCGCACCAACGCACCAACAGGTGAAGGAATTCGCAGAGCGAGTTCTGGCTGCTGCTGGGGATACCAAACCATTAGGAAAAGGCTGGATCTATGCCTTCGTGAGAAGGAACCCTATCATTAAGGTTCAGAGAAGTCGTTCCATCGATTCTAGACGCGTTAATGGGGCATCTACTGAGGTCATTAGGAACTGGTTTAAGTTCCTTGCTATCCCTGAGATCAAGGACATCAAACCAGCCAACAGATATAATATGGATGAGACTGGCATCCTCGAGGGTCAGGGAGCTAATGGGTTAGTGCTGGGCATGGCTGAGACGACGTCTGTTCGCAAGAAACAACCTGGGTCGAGGGCATGGGTCTCTATCATTGAGTGTATCTCAGCCTTGGGTAGGGCACTTCGTCCTCTTATCATTTTCAAGGGAAGACGGTCCAACAACAGTGGTTTCCATTACATCTGGTTCCATACGATGGGTGGGAGTTTACAGCAACAGATAATGGCTGGACTACAGACTTAACTGCCATTGAATGGTTAGAGAAGGTGTTTATCCCACAGACTATGCCCGAGGCTGAGGGCGAGGCTCGACTGTTGATTGTGGATGGGCATGGAGTCATACGACGACAGACTTCATGTGGAATTGCTATATTAACAATATCCATTTACTGTTCTTACCACCACACTCCTCTCATGTCCTCCAGCCACTTGACCAGTCTGTCTTCAGCCCTGTTAAGTCAGCCTATCGGAAGGAGCTCGGTTACTTGTCTCAATGGAACGACTCTACCATTATAGGTAAAAGGAACTTCCTGGACTGTTACCAGAAGGCTCGACTTGCTGGTCTATCAGTCTCGAACATCAGAAGGGGAAGTGGACTGGTCTACACCCTGTAGCGATGGTTAAGCCCTGATGAACCCTATGGTATTACCTGAGCCTTCTGCTGCCCACCACACCCAAACCAACCAGTCGGGGCAAAAGCGATGCCATAATGGTCAACAAACTACCCCTGTTGAGCCATGGGATTCTGCTTCCTCTGCAGTGGTCTGGTCGACACCCAGGAAGCTGGCAGAGCTCAGCGGTCAACTGCACTTATACACCCAACTCGACAATGATACCAGCACTCAACGGCTGCTGTTCAGGAAGGTGAAAAAGGCTTCACAGAGCAGGCCTGGCAACTGGCAGTTGCCCAGCAGCAGCTGGCTCACCTGAGGGCCTGGTTACCAACGCTGCAGTTAGGAAGAGGAAGACTGTTCAGATCGATCCCAACACGAAGTTTGCGAACATCAGGGATATCCATCGGGCTCAAATCGAAGCGGGTGAAAAGGAGGTTATTACGGCTGAATCCAGCGACTCTGAATGCCCTAGTGAGGCTGGCAGTTGTATTGTAGTGGGTGTGGTTGAGGATCAATAGTTAATAGTAATGAGGAGGTTGGGTTGTGATCCCATCGTTTTTGTGGGTGCCAGAAACAGGGGGGTGCCAGGAAGTGGGGGGTTTGACTTAACCATGATCCCCATGGAAATCACTAGATATACTCCTGCGGCCAAAACTTCCTTGCCCACTTTGATACAGCACCCAAAGTGTTACTGGCATTGATAGACGTCTTCGGAACGAGTGGTATCGCGACTTGGACTACCTCCTCAACGCTATGATCCTCAACAAGATCAGCAACAGGAGGGTATGCCCACTCCTTGGGGTCAACAGCCCCAACGAGGTCACCGGCAGCCTGGTATCGACGGAACTCCTTCGCCGTGGCAGTGTCACCGCCAGCAGCGCTAGTGACGAGTTCACGGAGACGGTAGCGAGGATCGCTCAAGTGCCAGGTGACATAGCCCTGGCAGAAAGTCTGGAGGGTGTCGGCGATGCTTGGGTCCTTGTCGGCAAAGACCTCGACGATCTGCTCCGAGCAGCGGATTGTGTCGCGCGTCAGCTTGTTCAGCGCCTCGGCCAGCGTGATGCGGTCACACTTGGCGTAGTTGTTGACGAGTGATGTCTGGTCACGCGGCTCATCGAATTCTAGAGGGTTACAACTCATTAGCGAGTGATCTTGGCAAACCGCTTGTGCCTTGGCGAGCTCGCAGGCAACGAATCGGATCGCACGGGGAAGAAACAAGCTTATGGTCTAAGCTTCACGCTTCTACCCCGCCGACGATGATCGGGTCTGCATCAATGCCAAGCCTGCACTGGAGATGAGATAAGGTAATGAGCGTACCTTTGTAGAATGATAGTAGGTCGTTCACAAACACTATCCAGTTCTCCATTTGAGAGATGACAGACGTGATCTCCGTAAAGAGCACCTTTTCGTCAAACTGGGCTTTGGGAAAGATGGATGCCCCGACGCAGTGGCCGAGGCCGTTCATGCGACGCAGAAAGCCGGGGAAGTCATATGAGCCCGGGAAGCCCTGAAAGTTGTGTTGCTCAATCCAGCAACCCTGGAAAACTGTGGCTCGTTTAGCTTAGTGCGCAGGAACGTGAGAGTTGTGGGCTTTCCAAGGCTCCTTACAGTCGGTCGTGCTCCGGACCAGGTTTAAACCACAGTACGGACCATAATGGCTAAGCACAGTTGGGAACTGCGCGTTCACCATCTGCCACCAAGGGTGCTGTTGAGGCTTCCCAGCAAGAAGATCCTGGTAGAATGACTGCATAGTTGCGTCGGGGTCATCTTGGCTGTCATCAAGCACTAGCATATAAGTGTAGTGGATGCTCAAATCTGCCATAACCTCGGGGTCGACGCGCACCCAGGCATAGACTACCATAGCCACAATTGTCTGAAGAGATGCCTGGAGACGTCTTGGGCTGGCTTTGATTAGACGCTGCTGCGTCGGCTGGGCAAAGTGCTTCGCCGCCTTAGCGTAAGCATAGTGTAGGTTACGGACCCTCTCCTGGTGTGTGTAATTGGTGTCGTTATAGTTGATTATGCTCAGAAAGCTCACGACAGCATCAAGATAACAGTCTGTGGGAAAGCTTGCGGTGTCCATGATGTTTGCTGCTGCCTCCCTTTTGTGACAAAATGGGAAATGACTCATTGAGGGGGAATGGATGAAGAAAGACTGAAGCTTCAAGACAACTTGGAATATGAGGAAATGAGAAGACTTAAAGGGCAAATATGGCATCGAGAAGTTGCCTATCTGGCTTGCAGTCAGACAAGATGCTACTATTACTCTTCACAATCTCGCACGTCTGGTGTTGCCTGGCCCCGTGAAGAAAATGCCCAACACGGATCATGCAGCGCCAATATCTTTATTACGCCTGCATAACAACGTTTTTCTTCGCATAAAGCTGAAGTCCGCAAACAGGAAAGGTCCATAAGGATTTCGCCGTGTTGAAGTTGATTGTTCTGCCCCCTCACGGGTTCTAGGCCGTGTCTTTAGCTACAAGGGGGTCAGACTTTTCTCGTATTTGGTCAAGTTTGACATCTGTAAGTCTTAGATGGATGGCTAGACGACAACATCGTCAGCTGGATTTGGAGGGCATTGCGGGCGCGCGTGAAGAAAATCCCCCGGTCAAATCATAAAAGGGCCCGACGAGATGGAGCGATACGTTGATGTGTGTACAGATACATCAAATTACAACTGCGTGAAGAAGAGGGCAAATCCTGCTAATTCTGCAAGGGTTTCGGATCTCGTACACGTGGCTACGTCTATGTCGGCCTAAAGGTCACTTCGTAAGCCTGCAAGCCCCTCAATCACCGCCGTTGCGGTCTGTTTGCGGCACAAAACATGAGATACGATATGGGCCTGAGAAGCAAGACCTAGGCCAAGAGGCCTGGGGGCGAGACTCGTAAACTGCATCATGCTATCCTTGTTAGCACTCGGGGCATACTACGTGTCTAGTTGACGGGAAGTCTGGGCCTACTTTCTCTTTCATTTGCCGCATATGAACATGCAGGAAACCACTTGGTGTTGTGGCCTCCCCCATACTAGGACACCGGAGAGTTACGCTGCATACAGGGGTTGCTTATGTTGTAGGCTCCTCGTGAACTTCTGCACCAGCTCCTTCAAGTCATCCTTCTGATGCAATGCAACTTTATCAGTACACACCGTAATCAAAGTGAAGAACACTTACAGGTGGAGTCGTAGCCGACGGAAGTCCACCGCATCAGCCGCAGAGATCCTAACGATCTAGCCGAGGCGGCAACTAGTATAGGCGCCGTGAGTTTCCGAACCCGCTGCTAGTGCATAACATTGAATTAGTAGGCGCAAGGCACTGTTTTCTGTGTGTGCAACATATCGGTGTCTCATACCGAGGAGTCTAGGTGAAATGGGTACTCATGCAACGTAGCCCAGGAATCTGCCAATAAAATTGCCACAAAGCCGCTTCTGACCCAGCCGAATCTGATTGCACTGTATTGCGCCATGTAATCGCTGGGAATAGTACGGCTTGGTTTACAGCCTTTGCGCTGACATCTCACAAGGGGATAATATGACAACAGGGGCGGTAGGGCTTTCTATTAAGGGCAACTCGTTGGTCAAGCTTTTATGCTCCGTATTTTGCATATGCAACACATAAGTACCTACTCCGCATGGATTGTGTGTGGGGTGGGTGTGCGTATATTGTGATCACCCCCTGCTACTGATTATGGATACTACGTGAGGTGGATCTTCAGGGACATTCCACAAAACGGCACGCCGTTTACGGGCGTCATTCTCTGTTGCCTTACTCGTCAGTGTGTTACTGAGTAGTGATAAGTATGGGCGTGGACCGTACGTTTCCGCCCATGTATCTTGGAGGCTCTGTTCGCAGATGGGGCTGGACCCTGATGCTCAGGGTCCTTTCCGTACGGGGCTGATAAGAGTCTGGGGTTGGAGACACTCAGGAAAGAAGTGCGAAGCTTCAGGGTCCGTCCCACAACCAAAGTACTTTGAGGGGAATGGAAACAGAGAGCCGGACCAGAAAACAGGATTCTAGACCTTGGGAGACCTAATCTGGGAGACCGAGTTGGACCGGAGTATGTGGCTTATTGCCATTCCCACAACACTGATTGGCCGTATCAGTGCGACCGCCATGATGCGTATTGTTTTAGCCGACGGAATGCAACAGTGCTTGCCAAAAGTACTATAAGCGCAGGCCGTTTGTGAGCAATCCCGGCCAATGTTAACGGCTGTGCCACAACACAGCATCTCGTATCGTACTTTGAATTGTCGCGATTTCTTCGATTTCCCCCGTCGGACGTCTAGTAAACCATCGTCTGAATGTGCGATTGCCTTGCTTCTCACGCGTTATCCGATGGATTGAAAGGCCTAGTCAGAGATTCTCACAAACATTCCCGATTGAAACGTAAAATGGTACCCTTAGACATCGTAGCTCGTTCTTTACATATCAAAATGAAGAATACTCGTAGAAATGAAAGACAACACCAATAAATCCAGCGAATTTGAACATAGACACAGAGTAACGAACTGTGAAGGTTTTGTGAAAGCTGATCGCTGTCCTCAAGTCCATCTTCGCCAAATGCGATGAAGTAGCGTACAACATTGGGTCATAGTGTGCATGATTGTTCTCAACAACATGGATTCATTCTGAATTTCTGAGGTCATCATATTATCCTGTCTAGTAAGGCTGTTATTTGGCGTGAATCACCACCCGACTCACAGCTCATTTGCTTGAACCTGTTACATCGTGACTACAATATGGTGGGATGTGGACTATATGCAAACGTAGAGCCTGTCGCACCGACTGCAGCATGCAAATCATCTACAGCTCAATCTCCTCCTTGCGGCGTCGAATCATAATTCGTGCATTGTCGTTAGCCGACCAGTACAAAGCCTGGAACGTAGGATCCGTGGGAGCGCCCGGAGCCAGCTTGAAGTCGTACTTCAGAAGGATGTGGCTGAGGGCGATCTTGAGCTCGTTGGCGGCGAAGAAACGGCCCGGGCACGCATGCTTGCCCATGCCGAAGCCCAGGGCATCCGGTGTCGTCGACACGAATTGTGCCGTCTCGAGCCCTTGCTCCTCACGCATGCGCAGGAAGCGGTAGCCGTCAAACTTCTCTGGGTTGGGGTACTTGCCTGCATCCCAAGACTTCGAGGTGGATACCATGAGCTTAGTGCCTTTGGGGATCTTGGTACCGTCTTGTAACTTTGTGTCCTTTAGCGCGATACGACGCATGACAGCTGTGGGGGGCTATGTCAGTGGCTCAATTTTTGAAATCGGAGAAATGCCCATAGATATGTTCTCTTACCAATGGCTGCGGGTTTCATGCGCTGACTCTCTTTAAGCACACTGTCCATAAGACGCAGCTTGTAAAGGGTAGACTTGCTCCACTTGTTCTCGGACAAGACGGTAATGACCTCCTTGCGCATGTCCGCGACCAGCTGGGGGTCCTGGCAGAGATAGATCATGAGCGTGCTCAACGAGTCTGACCCCGAAAAGTTGGCGGCGATGGCCATCATAATCTGGGCAACGGTGGCGTCATAGGGACGGCCGTTGGCCGCGTCCTCCATCCACTGCATCGCATCGAGGTGGCGAACGGGTTCGAGACCCTGTTTCACCCGCTTCTCTTTCTCGCGGCGGCGATTTTGGAGGACCGGATCGACAATGTTGAAAGACGTCTGTAGCTCTTGTCTGATGGCTCGGCACCGGGGCATATACCAGTAGGCAAGCGGACGCAGGAACTTGGGCCATAAGCGTAGGTCTTGCGCGGCCTGCATTGAGTCCCTGGTGTAGTCGACCGTGACCTGAAGCCAGTCATCATTGCGACAGAGCTCTTCGCCGAGGAAGACTCGGGAAGACAGTTGGGAGACGATCTTGAAAGCGAGAATCTTGAGCGGAATCTCGTGCCATTCTGTCGTTGAACGTCAGCATTTTCTCATCCTGATTGCATTACACGTCCAGTCGACTAACTTGCTTTATTGGTAAAGTGCTTTTGCAGCGCATGGTTTGCCTCCTCGGAGAGGGGAGTATTGAGTCTGACGATATCCTGGATGAGGTTGATCTTAACAGCATCGTGAAAGATCCTGTCACGGGTTTGTCCTTGGCGAAAAGGAGCAAAACCATCCAGACTGGTGTGCATGTCCTACATCAAAATGAGCTTTTTGTCACAGCATCAGTCTTGGTCACAGTTGCTCACCTCCTCCACGTGCTTGCCAAAGTCAAGCGCCTCGTCGTCCTTAATTCCACTGGCATAGTCGGCAGAGAGGAGAAGCTCAACGCCATTCTCAGTTTGCACACGGAACTTGTCACCAACCTAGCAACATCTGTAAGTTATACTGTGCGACCCTAGTTTTCCGTTAGTGGAGATTAATAGCTTACTTACATTGAGAAGCGCATGATCAAGAATCTCCTTGGCATGGTTGCAAAACGTTTTTCGCTGCTCCTTGGCCGTCAACTGCCACCATTTCTTGCCGTTGACAAGAGGGAGACTGGATATGTCATTCTTGTCTTCGCGTGCGAAAATAGTGAGTCTTCCAAGGATTGCACTCAAGGCCAGTGCAATTACAACACCAAGACCCTCGGGCGAGAAAAACTGCTGAAGAGCAGCAAGGAGCGCGTCTTCAATCATGATGCTTCTTTGATTTCAAACGTGTAAAAAGATTATGTACAGAGACAGAGATCTCATAGAGGGCAAAGGTGGTTTGGAGATTGAAGTAGGGAAATGATTATGTTCTAGTTCGGGACCGAGTCACCTTGCGGTGAGATTGCCATTCAGATTGATGAGTTAAATTACACGAGTGATTTTGCTATGCAATGGCGGTTTGTCTATCAAAGGCATTGACAAACGAGCTCACTATCATCGCCACTTCACACATCACGAACCTGAAGCTCTGTAGCCTGAATGCACTTAATGCACGGAGGAACTTTTGCTTCGAGGTCCCGGCCGGAGCTGCGCAATCTTACGATAGAATCTTACACCCCATGTGAGACGTGTTCCAGGCCATATCTCGAGTTCGCCCGAAATGGCTGCTTGCTTCAGATGTCGTGATAACACAGGATATCATTCACTTTGGAGCCTCAGCAAACCCATGCTTTCCTGATCTTGCGGTTCAATTGTCGCGGCGGGACAAGAAATTCGTCCGATTTTCACGCCCGTATGGCGAAGGAATCGGGGTCAGGGTCAGGGGTTCAGGGCTGTAGGACCCTGCATGCCTAGTTGCATCCCAGTGGGTGTGTGATCGTAAGCTGCATGAAACCCCCGCCTTCGGAGATCTAGAACCTCATATTGACAGGTCTCTTATCTATTCTGTGGAACGAAATCTCTGTTGCAGGTGGCAAGGTTAGAGGTTCTAGACTGATTTTGCAATCCAGCGTCAGCTTCCTTCAGACCGGCATCTTTTTCCCCGAATGTATACAGTGCGGGTGCTCGAACCACGCCAGCCGTGAGTCTTGCGAGAACTGTCACCCCCCGTGTTGTTCATGTTTCTGTAGCCGGAATCTGCCTCGACATCTAGGCAAACCTCGGAAGCTCGATGCCCTGGAGAGATATCGCTTCGCCAGGCGAATATGGAGATGATGCTGACACGCGGGAGGGGTCAATCAAGCTGCATGATAGACATCGAGTTGCGATGGGCAGTGTTGAAGGAATCCTGGCCCCCAGATACGGTGCTCCCCAGCACCACGACGACGACGACGACGACGACAACGGGAAACTTTGGATACATAGTAGACACAGACTGCCATCCAGAAAGGACTTGACTTCATCACAAACTATCTGCTCTTCTCAGCAACGTGCACCATCAACTGGATCTGTCCTTTAGCCTCCAACTCCTTCATTCGCTCTTTGCTACCAATACTTCGCAGTTCAGCTGCTATCAACCATCATCATGGGCGTAGAAACGGAACCTGTCTTGACACGCCCTTGGGTGTTGTCGCATAGCCAAGAACTTCAAGACACGCCAACTTTATCCACGAAAGCCATCGAGATGACAGCGAATGCGGCATGTAGTGTTGAGGATTTCGACACAATCCTTGCATGGAATGGCGCAGAGCACTCTTCTCATGACGAGTGCCTCCATTGGCATTTCGAGAAGCAAGCTACCTCACAACCCAACACCCCAGCCATCCTAAGTACTCATCAGGCTTACACCTATGGGGAGTTGGAGGCTACGACTGCGCGCCTCGCCAAGTACCTCTCTCAAGAGTGTGGCGTAGGGCCAGAAGTCATTGTGCCAGTTTGCTTTCCCAAGTCCGCCTTCGCCATCGTTGCCATGCTCTCAATTCTTCGAGCCGGAGGTGCTTACACTGCACTCGACCCGGAATATCCTGATACCAGAATCCAGGAGATTGTGCAACAGACCCAAGCAACAGTCGCTTTGGTATCTCCTGATTCCGTTGACCGTTTTGAGGGACTGGTGCAGAACGTGGTGCCCATCTCGCGGGACTACCTCCTCGCATTACCCAAAGACACAGATCACCACTCACTTCCTTCTCTCGATATCAAGAAAGCCAGCCCGAGAAATGCTTGCATCGTCGTCTTTACTTCGGGTAGCACAGGTTCCCCTAAAGGCATCGTTTTAGAGCATAGGCACATGTGTGCCACCGCCCATCAGCACGGCCAGGCCTTTAAGATTCGGCGTGGTCTTCGCGTGCTGCAGTTTGCTGCCTACACGTTTGACATGGCCAACTCGGACATCTTCTGCACCCTGTTCCACGGCGGCACCATCTGCGTCCCTTCAGAGGACGAGCGGATGAACGACCTTGCAGGCTTCGTGGCGCGGTTCCAGGTCGAGTCGGCCAAGATCACCCCGTCCCTAGCCAGTCTGCTCACCCCGACCGACATGCCTGGCCTCAAGACCATTATACTAGGTGGTGAGGTTGCCTCCAAGGACCTTTTGACCCGCTGGGCGAATCATGCTGAGACAATCATCAGTTATGGTCCTGCGGAGTGCGCCGTGACCTCGGCAAGTCATGTTTACGTGAAGGGGACCGATGCTGGTGTCATCGGCAGAGGATTCGGCACACGATTGTGGATCGTGGACCCCAATAGCCGCCACGTCATTTTGCCTATTGGCTCCGTGGGTGAACTCCTGATCGAAGGTCCGAATGTTGGCCGGGGATATCTGGCCAAGCCTGAGATGACGGAGCAGTTCTTTGTCGGTGCCCCCGACTGGTGCAGCGACAAGAACAATAGCCAGGGCGAGCCTCGGCGATTCTACAAGACTGGTGACTTGGTTCAATATGATTCCGACGGAGTGGTGCGCTTCGTCGGCCGCAAGGACTCGCAGATCAAGTTGCGCGGCCAACGTCTCGAACTCGGCGAGGTGCAGCACCATCTCAAGGAGGCTTTCCCCAAGGCCTCAACAGTCCTCCCGGTTGTCATCGCACCCCATGTCCTGGGCGCTACCAAGAGTCTCGCAGCATTCGTGCAATTACGAGACGGTGCCGGCCTTGTCCAGACCCAGGAAGACAACATTGTCGCATTGTACCTCTTGGGAACGGATGAATGGCAAGCCAGCGTCAAGGCTGCGCATAAACTACTGTCAAAGGCTCTCCCCTCTTACATGGTCCCGACGCAGTTCGTCCCGGTGTCTCAAATGCCAAGAAACGCATCTTGGAAGACTGACATACGGCGCCTGCAAGAGTTAGCCGCAGACCTCCCTCTGGGCGTGTTGACTCTTCTGGGCCCTTCCCCTTCGCTTCCGTCTACCGGCCAAGAGCCCCTGACGGAGACGGAACTCAAACTACAAGAGCTTTGGGCCATCGTCCTGGACCGTGAGCCTGGCCAACTAGGTCTCGACGACAGTTTCTTCTACATTGGCGGCAGTTCACTTGAAGCCATTCGCCTCGTCAGCCTCGCCCGCGCTCAAGGTCTTGATTTGACGGTTCAGCAGATTTTTCGAAGTCCCAGATTGAGAGATCAAGCTCGTTCGCTCAAGCCTCGATTGGAGATTGCGCCAGAAGGCGATACCATTCCTCCACTGTCGCTTCTTAAGCCAGAAACGGATCGCCGTACGGCGCTAGAGTATGCTGCAAAGCTTGCTGAGGTCGAACCGAGCCAGATCGAAGATATCTTCCCGTGTACACCTCTGCAAGAGGGTCTGCTAGCGATGACTGCTCAGCGTGAGGGAGATTACGTTGCACGCAGCGTGTACCGCCTTCCCGCTTCGACTGATCTAGCTCGATTCAAGAGAGCGTGCGAAGAAGTAGTGGCCAAGGCACCGACGTTGCGCACCCGAGTAGTGAGTCTCCCCGACGATGGGCTGGTTCAGGTTCTTGTCAACGAATGTTTCCAATGGGGTCCCGTTCTGGACATGGATTCTATCTCTTCTCTGGAGAGCCACAAACCCAGCCAGGCTCTCGGGTCAGGGCTGTCCTTCTTTGCTCTTGGTGAAAGCGCTCGGGAGGGAGCGACATACTTCGTGTGGACAATCCATCACGCGCTCTATGACGGTTGGTCTGCGCCACTCATCTTGGACGCGATCGAACAGGTGTACAACGACGGCCAGTCACCAGTCTTTGCTCCCTTCCAGAGTTTCGTCAAACACGTACTCCAGCAGGACAACACAGCCGCAGAGAATTTCTGGCAAGCCCAATTCGATGGCGGCGATGGCGCGGTTTCCTTCCCTGCGCTGCCCGACCCCTCGAAGGTGCCCCTTGCTGATACCGTCGTGGACCATCTCGTGAGCCTCGCCTGGCTCCGCAGCAGCACCACACCCGCAACGGCTGTTCGCACCGCCTGGGCAATTCTGCAATCTCAGATCTCCGGATCCAAGGACATCGTCTTTGGTGCGACCTTGACGGGCCGGCAGGCCGATGTCGCTGGCGTAGAGCGCATGACGGCGCCAACCATCGCCCCGGTTCCCGTACGAGTGATGCTACACAATGATGAGAATGTGGAGGATATGCTGCACGCGATACAGAAGCAGATGGTGGACATGCTTCCGTTTGAGCAGTTTGGTATTCAGAACATCAAACGAGTTTCCGGCGCTGCTCGGGATGCTTGCCAAGCACAGACGCTCCTCTTGATCCAACCTCTTGGCCAAAATCTGTCGCTGAGGCAGAACCGTCTCATGTCTCACGTCTCTGGCTTTGTACACGAGACCAAGTCGTATGCTCTCACGCTGTACTGCTACCTCGAGGTCGATGGCGTGCATATCTATGCCGTCTTCGACTCGTCTGTGATCAAGGAAGAGCGGGTTTCCAGGATTCTGGGGCAGTTTGAGCACATCTTGAAGCAGTTGAGCGACGCAGAGAATCTTGCCCTGAAAGTTTCTGATCTTGAGGTAGCGTCTCCCCAAGATATGAAAGACATGTGGCGCTGGAACGCTCAAGTTCCCCCAACCATGGACCGCTGTGTGCACGACATGATAATCGACCGCGTCCATCAACATCCCGAGGCAGAAGCTATCCATGCTTGGGACGGCGACCTTACATACGCACAATTAGACGCCCTATCATCAACGTTAGCTCGCCGTCTTATCAAACTCGGAGTCGGCCCAAACATGATTGTGCCCCTCTGCTTCGAGAAGTCCATGTGGACTCCCGTGGCTGTCATGGGCGTCATGAAGGCCGGAGGATGTTCTGTCCTGCTGGACGGGGGACAACCAGAGCAGCGGTTGCAGACAATTGTGCAGCAGGTCGGGCCTAGCGTCATGATTGCCTCAGCTCTGCGCAGGGACGAGCCATCAAGGCTCTGCACGTCCGACGGACTGGAGGTGATAGTCTTGGATCGACAGGCTCTGGACGAGCTCGAGGCTATTGACGTTGAAGTGCCTCTTCCCGTAGTGCCAACGTCTAGCTTGCTGTACCTCGTCTTTACTTCCGGCAGCACTGGACTGCCCAAGGGGGCCCAAGTTACTCACTCCAACTACGCGAGTGCGCTGCACTACCAGGGCGAATTCTTCGGCTACCAGACCACCTCTCGCGTGTACGACTTTGCGTCCTACTCCTTCGATGGCGCTTGGTTCAACATGCTTCATACACTCGAAGCCGGTGGGTGCGTCTGCATTCCTCTGGACGAGGATCGGCGGAACGATCTGTCTGCCTCGATTAACCACATGGGAGCCAACATGCTCAATTTGAACGCCACGACCCACCGTCTCCTGAACCCGGCGTCACTCCCGGCCGTCAACAACCTCATTTCCTTGGGCGAGCCGATTCGCAAGGAAGATGTCGAGATCTGGACACCTGGGGTCATCAAGCAAGCTTATGGCCCCGCCGAGTGCACCCCCATCTCGACGGCTCTGCGAGGGGAGACCAGTGACCAACCAAATGTCGGCATAGGCAGCGGGTTGGGCTCCCTCACCTGGGTTGTAGACCCGGACACCGGCCGATTGATGCCGCCAGGAATCACGGGAGAGCTCTGGCTTGAGGGCCCCATCGTCGGCGCCGGGTATCTGAATGAAAAGGAAAAGACGGCAGCTGCGTTCGTCCACGACCCATCGTGGCTTGTAAGGGGAGGGGGCGGTGTCCCGGGCCGTCAGGGACGTCTTTACAGAACTGGCGATCTCGTGCGACAACTCGATGACGGACCTCTAGTATTTGTCGGGCGCAAAGACACACAGGTCAAGATCCGTGGCCAGAGAGTCGAGCTGGAAGACATTGAGCACCACCTCCACCGCGTCATGGCCAGCCGGTACGAGACCGTCACCTTGGTTGCCGAGGTCATCAAGCCAGAAGGCCAGGAGCCCATCCTCGTGGCCTACGTTGCCCTCTCATCCCCCGGCGAGGCGTCCTTGGATGATGTCCTCGTCTCCCTGGTGGTTGGGAAGCCTAGCAAGGAGCTGGCCAGCGCACTTCCCGCACACCTCGTGCCTACGGCTTACATTCCACTCAAGCAAATCCCGCTCACGATGACAGGCAAGACAGATCGCAAGCGCCTGCGCGAGATGGGAGCCGCGATGACGCGGGATCAGCTGGTCGCTCTACACGAGACTCACTCGGGTATCACCTCGAGGGAACCGTCCACTCCCGAGGAGATGCAACTCAGGGAACTCTGGGCGCGGGTGCTCAACCAGACTGAGATATCAAAGATCAGCGCGGAGAGCAACTTCTTTGTCATCGGCGGCGACTCCATCCAGGCCATGCGCATAGTAGCCCTAGCCCACGAGCACGACATGCGCTTGACTGTGGCTGACATCTTCCAGAGTCCGCGCCTCAGCGACATGGCGAAGCGGATCAAGATGGTGCAGAAGAAACAATCGGCGTACTCGGAGCCACGGCCGTTCACCCTGCTCTCTGATGATGACCTGGCAGGGCAAGAACTCGGTGCTTTCATTAGAGAGACGATTGCGCCGGCCGTCGAATTCCCGCTCGAAGATATCCAGGATGTCATGCCAACGACGGCCACCCAGGCCATGTGCGCCGACGCGGCCATGTACAATCCGGCACAGGGGTGCTTCATGGTCCACGTAGACGTACCCGAGCGCGTCTCCCTCGACACGATAGAGGAGTGTTGCCAAAAGGTCTGGGACCACCTCAGCATCCTAGCCGCCGTGTTCGTGACGCCTGGCAAGAGGATGTTACAGGTGATCCCACGAGGTTCGGCGGCGCCGGTGGAACGACACCAGATTGGTGACCACCAAGATATGGATGGCTTCGCCACGGAAGTCTTCCACGCCGCCCTCCAGCCTGCCATGGTTCCAGGGTCTCTTTACACGCGGTTCTACGTGCTTCACGGTGCGGGTCAGTCCACCCGCTGGGGCCTCCGGCTTTCTCACGCCCATTTCGACCGCACCAGCTTGACACCCATCCTCGACTGCTTCGCGGCCAGCCTTCAGGGCAAGGCTCTGGCACCCATGGCGCGCTTCTCGGGCTTCATTGAGTGTGTGCGGGAGGCGGAGGATAGGATGCTAGCTCACTGGCGCGAGGTGCTTTGTGGTTCGAAGCCTCTCGCGCTGACCCCTACGGGGCAGCCCGCTGAGATTGTGTCTATCAAGCGCGCCATCCAGGCGCCGCCCGCGTTCGATGGCTTCACAGCGGCGAATCTTTACGTCGCGGCGTGTGTGCAGGCGCTCGCTCAGCTGCGCGATACTGATGACGTGGTGACGACCATGACAGTGTCGGGCCGTTCCACACTTCCACCCGCGCTGGCCAACGTCGTCGGCCCAACTGTTAACATGGTGCCTCTGCGCGTGCGACTCGATGCTCAAAAGACATTTGAAGGCACGCTCGAGGCAACGCGGCAGGCGCAGCTCGACGTGCTCGGCTTCGAGACGAGCACAGTCGCGCCGCTGTTCGAGGCCTGCACACCCGCAGCGTCGTGGCAGCCCGATGAACGTCGGTCGACGTACATTCTACAGTTTCAGAACCCGGAGCCGTTCACGGTGGATCTTATGGGCGATGGCGAGTGCTGTCAGGAGCTCGGCTGGTTCGGACCGGACAAGGTGTGGGATCACTCGGAGGAGGTGTGGCTCATCGCGCGGCCGGACCCAGAGACCGAGACATGGAACCTATGGTACAGCGCCAACACGGTCAACTTTAGTCTGGAAAGGCTGGAGGAACTTGTCCGGGAGCTGGAGGTGGTCGTTCAAAGGGTAATAAAAGACGCGGCGAAATGAGGAGATGGTTTGGAGAGGTGACAAATTTTGGTTGTTTTCATAAAAAGTGTGGATAATATTCTTCGTCAGCAGTTCGAGCATTTTTGAGTCTTTCGTGGGATTTTGCGCTAGAACTGGATGTTAATTGTTGTGTTATATTGATTGATTCGTATCCTTGAATGCAACGAACTGGAATTTTTTACTTAGTTTTTTTACTCAAAGAGGAAGATTGAAAAGAAAAACAACAGAAGATCATCTGCGAACTTGAATCCAAGACTCACTCTGAAATTATGCACGTTTCTTTAGAAGCCGATGATATCATGCTCCTGCCTCAAGCTCGCTTGAAAGATTTTTCCTGCCAACTTTCTGATTGACGTTCTTCAATTTGCTTAGGGATGGGTCCTCCAATCTAGACATCACATCTCCATGGACAACTTCAGGTAAACCAAACTTATATGCTTATTTAATGCTCGTGTCTATTCTACATGTCTAGGACGATAGGGTCCGACATCTCACGCCGGCCAGCGTCATCACCCTCTTTCGACAATGTTCCATGTAAGATAAGCTCCAATCACTGCTCCGCGAACTTCAACATGAACTCCGCAATGTAGCCAAGAAATTGATCTGCAAGCGTCGCGTTCAAGCGGCCGTCATTGAAGCAGATGGACAGCCCCGTGGCGCCCTTCCAGCTGTCCATCCTGACGAGCCTATGCAAGGGGTAGTGGTCAGCATATCGCTAGCAACAAGTGCAAGTCAAATGATTGGGGCTTTCAAAGACTATGAGGAAGACATGTACTCACACGTCGGAGAGATAAGTATCCAGGTGAAACAAGCAGCTTTCCACAGCGAGGAGCTTCTCTTCGCCCGCGCCGAATACCTCTCTAGGGATGTACTTGTCCACGATGCCGTCGCTAGCAAAGACCTGCGAGAGAAGCGTAATGTCAGTATACAAAGATCCGCCATATTGAGTAGAATGGTCTGGAAGACAAGATACAGACCGGAAAGCTAGTAGGCGGGAACGATGGCGGTGCACTGATTAGTTACAAGACGCGTCAGCCGGTGCACCCAGTGATCAACATTGACATAACAAAATACGCACGACCCGAGCACACTTGCGAGAAAATTGCCCTTGGCCTGGTCGATGGCGAGCTGAAACTCATTCCGTAGCCAATACTCATAGCCGTCCTTGACGTGCGTTGCCAGCGCCCCCAGCGTAGTCCGCACGGCGTCGGCATTGCTCTCATCTACGGCCCACTCGCGCAACGGTGCGAACTCAACTGAGGCGCCGGCCTGGCACGAGCCATAGCGCTGTGCCGCGTCGCCGCGAAGGTAACGTCTGCCGTTCACGGGCAGCGGCGAGGCGAGAGCGACGGTATCCGAGACGTCGGCGGGGAGAGGCCGGGCACGGAGGAGGGCAAGGACCATGGCGGCGTGGCCGAGGTGAGTGACGGTGTAATCTGGACCAAGGTGCGTCTTGATGGCGGCCTTGATAGCAGCGCTCTGCTCAACGGTGAATGTGCGCCATATCGTGCGAGGTGCGCCGGTATCAGCAGCAACAGGTAAGCCCCAGCTGGACTTTGAGGCATTAGCTGTGGTAATGCAGCGGAGAGAGATGGATGTTGTTGTGGAAGAAAGGGGTTTGAAGGAAGAGACTCACTCCGCTTTTGAGGAGGGCGGCGATGAACTCATCCCGCGTCTTCTTGTAGTCCTCGCCTAGAGCGCCGACATCAACCTTGCACGCATCGAGAACGGGCACGTTCAGGTTCGCGATCTCGCTACCCCACGCGTACTGCGACGACGCCGTCTCTGCCTTACTGACACCTAGCTGCTGTCCAAGGCGGCGCAGCAGGTCCCCTACGAAGACTCGCGCGCTGATGCTATCCCAGTGGATGTGATTGAAGACGCCGAGAACGTCCACGCGTGCACCGGCTGCCAGCAACGCCTCCTCGTTTTGCACGTCAGCCACGACGACGAGCGTCACGGGCGGGAGGGACTTGGCTGGATCGATCTGGCGCTGCTTGCCGATCTGGGCCGCAACCTGCAGCCCGGTCTGGGACGTGGATCTTGCGGTAACGGCGGCCCGCGCCCATCGCAAGGCTTCGGCGTCGCACGTCGGAGGGTTGTAGATGATGTGCGGGGGTCCGTACTCGGAGGCCCAGGCGGTGGTGCAAGCGACCTCGGGGTGGTAAAACCGGAGATGAACCAGCGCATCCGCGAGATGCCGCGCAAGGCCAGCCAAGGAAAGGCCGTCAGCTTCGATACGGAGAGTAGTATTGAGGTAGTTATCATATTGCCCGCGAGAGTTGGGGCCGCGCAGGCCGACCCAAGCTTCGGTGCCGAGCCCAAGGCGCCGTACGGCTCGGGGGTCATCAGGCGACGGGTGCCAGCGAAAGGTAGCAGGATCAAGCTGAGGAATAGGGGGGAGGGACATCGTTAAGAGTAATAAGTAAAGTCTTGGGAGAAAGTGTGCCAGATAGAAAGAAGAAAGAAAGTCACTTGGCTCGAAAGGAAGATGGCCAATCTTGACGTTGTTCAGTGAAGTAAGGTAAATCGAATGAATCAATGAGTCAACTTGCCTAAGTATCTAACTGCCGTCTGCCAATATCTATACTTGAAGTCGTCGCTGACCTATGGCTATGGCTTACTGCTGATGTACTCTCATCAACTTCACAGACACCCAAATTGTGAGTGCTTTCAATTGCATCCATGTCAACATGCCGGGGTCAAGTCTGGCGGTCCAACACAACTCACACCCCCTCCCCTCCTCTTTCCTGAGTTGGAATGTCCACTTTGCCTCCACCGCACTACGGTAGGTCAGACCAGGGTAGACTGCATGACTGCATCAAAACGGGGTCCTGATAGTACACGGTGTCGTTCACTGTGGGAACATTCATGGGAATACGCCCCGAGAGGGGTATTCCCAGACGGATCTTTGGACTGCAGAGAGCCCTTGCTGCTGTCCATCTCGGATGAGCGAGATGGATTGGCCGCCCCTGTCACTCGCCGCTTGCATGTACTTGCCTAAGGTAGGTACATAGATCGATCTCGACCACTGTCACCATCACCGGCAACTCCAAGTCGCCTGTTGTGAAGGATTCGCAAAGACAGTATCTGTTACGAAAGCCGCCAAGATACAGACGAGGCTTGGTCGTCAAGCATCTAGGAACATTCTCGTTACTTGCCTTCATCACTGCGGTTCCAAGCTCCTCACTTAAATTGTCCCGTTGTCTCTCCTCTCTTATGAACCAATCTATAAGGTACGCATACTCGCGGCTCACTTACACACTCCCTCTTCATCCTATCTCATCCCTCTCCCATCCATTAAATACACATTATCATGCGGCTACCCCGACCCCCTTTTGACTCGGAGCTCGCGCCCATCCAAGCTGCCTTTGAGCCGTTCGGTCCCATTACCCCAGAGTTCGTCATTAATCACCATGCCCGCACCGACCGTACCTTAGAGGCCCCGCACATTGCCGCCGCAGAAGCCATAGGCGACCGGCCCCTCACGTACGCCGAGCACACGGCCCCCGGCCTTGGCCTGAATGACCCTCCCATCGCGCTCTCCATCTTCACGCCCAAAGCGGCCCCAGTGAGTGATAAGAAGCAGTGGCCCTGCATCTTTTACGCGCATGGCGGTGGCCTGATATTCCTCCACCGCCTCGTCGGACTCTCCCAGCCGCTGGACTGGGCTGTAGCCGCAGGCGCCGTGCTCATAAGCGTCGAGTACCGCCGCGCGCCGGAGCACCCGCAGCCAGCGGCATCGGATGACTGCTTCGCGGCACTGAAATGGGTGCAGGCGTCAGCAGGCGTGCTAGGCATTAACGCTGCGCGCATCTTAGTGGCCGGGCAATCGGCAGGCAGCGGGCTGGCGGCCGGGCTCGCGCTGCGGGCGCGCGACGCGGGGCTCAACCCTCCGGTGCACGCGCAGATGCTGCCTTGCCCAATGCTCGACGATCGCTGCAGGTCCATCAGCTGCGCGCAGTTCGATGACGGCGTAGAGCCGTGGGACCGGACTAAGAACGCGGCGGCGTGGGCCATCGCACTGGGTGAGCACGGCGGGGCCCGGGCCCGGGCTGGCGACTTTGTGAGCTCATACTGGGCGCCTGCGCGGGCCGAGACACTGGCGGGGTTACCATCCGCGTACATTGAGGCGGGCTCCGCCGAGTTCTGCCGTGACGAGGCAGTGGACTACGCGTCGCGGCTTTGGTCGGCCGGGGTCTCGGCAGAGCTGCATGTGTGGGCGGGCGGCTTCCACGGGTTTGACGAGATGGCACCAGATTCGTGGTTGGGACGCCGGGCTATCGCGGCCAAGCTGGAGTGGGTGCGACGGGTGTTGACGGAGTGATGTTGTTGAGCGGTTGCGTAGATACGATATAGCTGTGTTATGTCGATAGGCGCACGATCCGGTGATTAGCCATACCCGTGGCCAGGTTGAGAGAACACTTCGTCATGTGCGGTTTCAAGAGGGCATAGAAGAGATGTAGGACTCGAGGCAGAAGTCGTTTGTTACAGCAGAGATAAGAGGGGGCCTTACACATTCTTGACACATGTCAAACCAATCCCTCTAACACGATACATCGAGATCGGGCTTAGAGTTCGACATCCTCCTCATTGAAAATTCTCTGGAAGTTTAAGGGGCTAGAGATATATAGTGTCTACGTTTGACTTGTGCTTTGCCCGCGAAAAGATAAATTCGTACACATAAGTCCACCGATTAGACATACACAAGTAATTGACCACAGATTATACCAAGAGAGAATCTTTCCGGCGGGCAGTGAGCGCGGATACTCGCCTAAGCAGGCCATCTCCAATGTATAAATGAGCTCAATGAATCTATCGAGCTTCAGAAACAATCATTTTGACGAATCAATGTTTCAAACAAGCGATGGGTCACAATTTCATATTGCTGAGCCTGCAACGCATTCCTCCCGGTTCAAAGTTGTTTATTGACATATGATGAGTGCTAGTTCAAAGTCCGATGGACGTAGTATAAGCTGTGGTTCTTGCATTACAGGCAGCTGATAACGGGCTTTGTCGGTAACACTAATCGCAACTGATCTGTGCGAAGCTGGAGACATGAAATGACTCAGAACATGCATTTCCTTCTCTCTTCCATTCTTATGAACAGAGATATTTTCGTATTCGTGTGCCCGATGCTGGGTGATCCTCGTAGAAAGATCACCAACGGCAAGTAGCCCAGATCTGTCACCAGAATTGACGTGACGACCAATTAGCATTGGTTGCGGAATGACCAGATGTGGTCATTAAGGAAGCCTGGAACGGTGGGTGCAGAACCGCGCTGCTGCCAGCTGGATCCCCTGCAGTCACGCTCTCTGATGTTATGTCAACATGTAAGCTATGTAAGTACCTTGGAAAGACGAAGAGGTTTCTCACCGGAAGAAAGTAGTACATCCTCCATCACCTCCGACGGAGCTTGCTCGATCGCCTTTACCGTTGAGATTCCCTACATTGTTCTTGAGCATGGAGTTTACGGATCTGATAGTTGACACCACTTACAGCAGGCGCCGTCGGTATTGCGTATCTCCCTATGAGAAGCGCCATTGTAGTTGGCATCATCAAACAATACGAATTCTCTGGCGGATGCCAGCGAAGCAAGGAGAGTAGCAGCGAATAGAGTGATCTTCATTGTGGGCAAAGAAGGGAGTAGAATTCTTGTGAAAGTGGCAAAGTTGTTGTTCTGGGGCAAGAGACTTATGAAGAGGGATGAAATGGAGTTGTTGGGAATTATAAACAGAGATCAGAATAGTCTTTATATACTCTTAGACTTGTATTATCATGAACTTTCTGAAGTTTCTCCGTGTCCTACGGAAAAAGTTGAGTAACATCCTACGGAGAGGTTCCTTCACGCCAAGCTTTAGTTTCTTTTCGAAGCTTGGATCAATGGTAGTACGTGTAAGCGCTAGATGTAAGCAAGCCAGCAGGCCGCAAGCTGCGCCTCTGCTACTAAGCGAGTGGGACCCTATCAAACTGAGTAAGCGCGGAGTAGAATAAACTATCAGTTCCATGGTTATAACTCACACAATAGAGACCAAAGATAGAGACGAAGGCGTGGTTGTTTTATTGTCAGTTAGCACCCGATGAACACCACAGTATTTCTCTGTGGTAGACTATCATCAATGCCCAGAACACTGGAATTGTTGAAGAAGGCTTTATAATTATGCTTAGATAAAGAAGTTACAGGCATAGTATGCCAAACACGACTGGACCTTGATACCCTGTGCTACTTGGATCCGTAAATAAGAACGACTTGTTTGGGAATGGTTGGACTGAGAGCTTCCTAGGCTTTCCGATAGGATTTGAGACGCACCGCTTAAGCAGGGATCTTGATGTACTTAGTTGCTTGAAGGATGTACTAGAGTCCTTCTAGCGAAGGACTCAGCATTGGTCTTGGGAAACTTCCGACCTCCGAGTCCGTAGGCCGGACGTGGATGCTTGTCACCTCCGTTGGGCACCGTCGCTCGTGACACACGTGTGAGTTCAGTCTTACATGTTTGCCTTCTGGAAATAAAGCGTGTGGGACCTCTGCCTGAGGCCATGTCTAAGTGATTTTATCATCAATCCTTTGTCATGATTGGTATGCTCGGTTCTACCCTTGCATGTCCCACCCGCCAAGCTTGATCTTCTTCAGGACTAAGCCGGTCGGAACGACAGAAAGAGAGACGTAGATAAGTTAACGTAGCAATCCGCTGTGAAGATTCTTTTCCGGCGTAATAAACTATATTCATCTACCTACGTTGCACGCCCCCAAATACGAAACAAGGCTCCACAGGGACGCAGCAACCCGCAGGTGTCATGTGAGACTCAACGGCCAACGCGAATACGTTACCTGTTGGCTCCATAGTGTCTACGCCACTCTGAGACGTTCGTCCGCGGTTTGGTAGAAATTGGTGTCCAGCGTAACGGCTGCTTCTTTTCCAGATGACCGTCTTTCTCCCGGATACGAGCACGCATCTCGAAGCGTCTGCATGTAGGCTTGCCGGATGAGTTCTCTCTTCCCAGGCTCGGGGAGGTTGTTCATAGGAGTTCCGTATACTTAGCCCGTGGACTACGTTATTATTGAACTGAAAATCACTGACAGTTATTCCTGAACGAGACCGTTTCTCCCACGCAACCACCGGAGAGCCAGTTTAGCAATACTGTGACCGTTCAAGTAGACGGATCCGCTAGGTAGGTTCAATCAACCTTAAAGCAGGCCATCGCACTCGTCAGACCGCTCGCCCATGTCGGCCATGGATCTCAGACTCACGGTCAGACATCTCGAACATGCCCTTAGCAGCAGCTGAAGCCTCAGCAAGTCACCAAATTCCGAAAGGACGCTAGAAGCAGCGTTCATACCCAAAAGACCGCAAGCAGTACCGAGATGAGTTAAACAAATCCCGGGAATACACAGGTCCTTCGCGATTATCC